GGGGACCCCAGGGAAGGGGTGTGGGGCTGCCAGCAGGAGAGGGGCTGGGGTTCAGGATCGGCACCGCAGCACAGTGGAAACTGCCCGGCTTCACCTTGAGGCGGGCTGCGAGCATGGGGCTTACCGCGAGCAGCCGGTCTCCAATCTGCAGGCGCCCGTCCTTCTGGGCAGCGCCTCCCTCGATGATCTTGGTGATGTAGATGCTGTTGTCCCCAGGGATGTGTTGGTTCCCGATGCCCCCTGCGATGCTGAACCCCAGGCCTGAGGGGGATTGAGAGGGCAGGTGAGGGGTGAGGGACAAATGGACGGACAGAGCCCCGGGCTGGCATCACGGCCCCTCTGCCTTACTGGGCTTCCCAGCCTGCCCCAAACCCGGCAGGCAATGGGCCACCCCGCTTCTGTGTGGGGACAGCCCAGCCACCGTGCGCTGCACCATGGGGCTATCATCTCATACCCCATGCCCCATAGCATCCCACACTGCTGGGCCACCCCACGTCATCCTGCACTGTTGTGGTGCCACCTTGCACGCCACATGCCCTGTGATGCTGCCATGCACCCCACGACATCCCACACCGAGGGGTCACCCCACACCATCCCGTGGGGTAGCAGGGCACCCTGGTCCTGCAAGCAGAGTGAGGGGTTCACCTTTGGGGCCCTTCATGAGGTTGACCTCCATGATCGTCTCTGGTGGGGGCTGCCGGCGGCGCAGCACCAGACGCACCACCTCAGGGCCTCTACGGCTTTGCTGTGCACCACCTCGGAGACGTCCACGTCATTCACCCGCAGCACGCAGTCGTTCACCCTGTGGGCACAGGGTGGCCCTGAGCTCTGCTGGGGAACTGCCAGCCCATGCCACCCTTCTCTGGACACCTCTGCCACCATCCTCCAGCCACGCAGACCCATGTGTGAAGGAGAACTGCTCAAGCTGGCCAGATCCTGCCCTGCTGGGGTGAGAGTGGGGTCCATCCCGAAGTGGGAGGCAGTGGGGCTGGTCCCCAAGGTGCGACCTTGGTGGAGATGGGAGATGAGGAGAAAGGCTGGATCCTGCACCGGGCTGCAAGGGGAAGGATGGGAGCTGGAGCCTGGCACAGGGAGGGGAGGAGGGGTGGCTGCAGACAGGAGGCCGGTGACAGGGGACCGCCAGAATCCCTGCACGCAGGAGACGTGGCCGTGGGGAAGGGACCCGGGGCAGGGGGCTGGGGACCATGGCATGGGAGGGGGTCAGGAGCTGCCTAGAGGGTCCCTGGGGAGATCTCGGGTGACACCCTGACAGGGTGGCTCCCCCACACCCCAGACGGCCATCCATGGCTGCTGCTCCCCCGGGGATGATTTTGGTGATGAAGATACCTGGGTCATCTGGAATGTGGGGGTTGTCGATTCCTCCTGCTATGCTGAAGCCGAGGCCGGAGTTACCCTGTGGAAAATCAAACACCGTGTCTTTCCCCCACAGGCAACCGCTTGCTGTCAGCCCTCCTGAAGCAGTTCCCCCCAGCCACAGCTGCCCAGGGCGCAGGAGCCCTTACAGCATCTGTCGCACCCCAGGGTGCCCAGCTCAGGGGGCAGAGGGATGCACGGCCGGAGGGGAGGCCGGTGCTCATCAGCCGAGGTGCTCAGTGCAGCAGCGCGAAGCACTGAACAGATGGAGCGGGAGAGTGGGAGCCGCCGAGGACCTCCCTCACCACCGCGTCTCCGCCGAGAGACTTTGAGGCAGGCAACGAGCTGGGAGAATAGGGGGTGGTCCTTGGTGGAGAAAACCTCCCCTTGCTGGCTGCTCCCCAGGAGAAGACATGGATGCTGCATCCTGCACGGAGCAGCAGGGCTTGTGCCAGTCACCAGCATCCCACTCCTGATCCCCTGCACCCTGGGATGCAGCCCCAGCATTGAGCCAAGCCAGGGCCCAGCTTTGGCCCATGCCAAAATTTGCAGATTAGGGTGGAGAGGGCTGTCAGGATGGAGCAGGGTCTCCAGTTCTGCCTCTTCTTCCTCCTGGACATGCTTGGAGCATCGCCTGAGCTTTGTCCTGCTGGTGTCTGCCCCAGAGGGGAATGCAGAGGCCATGCTGCATCTCCAGCCCTGTCCTGGCAGCATCCCAGGACCGTGGCCCTGTGCTGCCTCTCTCGCTTGCAGGATCTCCGTTAGTGACACACTCACAGGCACCGTTTCCAGCTCCGTGCTTGATGCAAGTGGACAATTCCTGCTTTTTCTGCTCTGTCTTGAAAATCAGATGGCTCCTTGCCTTGTTTTCTCATGCGGAAGAGCTGACACACAGTCACATCCTATCGTGCCCGCCTCTCTTGTACACAAACGGGCCCGGGCCAAGCACTCTCCCGGCTGCCCACGGCCCCAGTGCTCAGTGTTAGGCAATGGGGAGCTCTGCCCTTCTGGGGGACCTGTGGCCAAGAGGGCCAAACCGGAGCTCAGGCTCCCCAGGATCACCTAGCACCAGCAGCTGGCTGGGGCTTGCGTTTCTCCCCAGCAATTTGGGCTCAGCATCAGCTTTTGCGGTGACACAGAGGTCTCCTCCGCTCTGACTTTATGCCACTCATGACATAGCATGGCATCTCCGGGAGCCACCAATGCCTCTCACTACACAGCACTCCTGGATGCTCTCTTGCCAGCTGGGATTTGGCCAGCACGAGACAAGGAGGCACTCAACAGTGAAAGGTCTGATGCTGCTCTCCTTCCTCTAAGCCGGATTTTGGTTACCCCACGTTCAGCTTAAAAAAACTGCTTACTGTCACTGGAGACCTAGCCAGGCCCCATCAAGGCAGGTGAGACTGTGCGAAATGGTCTCCAGTCATTCATTGTGCCTGTCTATGGAAGGGTGTGCTCTGATGCTAGCTACAAAACCTGGAAATTATCTGGAAGATGTTTATTCTTATTTTGATAAACCTTGAAATGGAGTTCAAGGTATTTCTTAGCTGGCATTGGGGCTGATGTAGACACAGGGGCAGCTCCTGGTGCAGACACATGTATGGTGGATAAACCCAAAGCCACGTCACTCTGCAGACAGCATTTCCTCAGTTATTGCCCCCAAAATGCTGCTGCATTTGCCCTTGTCTTTACAACAAGGACAAGGATTAATAACGTGACAAACCAGCAATTTTGGGGTACAATGAGGTCATTTCTGGGAGCCAAACACCCTAGAAAGGGGACAGCCTCACCCGCAGGCACTAGAGTGCTTCTCCTACAGTAAGACGGGGTTGTTGGATCCCGCTGGGGACCGCATGAAGAGGAAGGACTTGGGGATGGTCCATGCTGACCCTGGCTGCTAAGCACTGAAATTCCCTCATGGTTTCTTGCTGCTGGAGATGGAATTGATGCCTGGGGCTTTGAAATGGGGGCAGCAATGAGTGCTCCCTCTCCGTGTGACCCTGCCAGCTCGTCCTCTGCTCCTGCTGTGGGCTGAGGACAGAGGATGCTCTGAAGAACCTCTGAAAACAAGGCTTTTGCCTCTAAATTGGGCCCATAGCAAGAAGCGCTCAACCCAAAAAGGAAGCATCCCCTGGGTTGGTTTTGTCAGGCACGCCGGGGAAGCAGTGGGTGAGGCGGCAGCCCCAGATAACCTTCCATCCACCCACCTCCATGATGCAGAGCCAAGGGGAGGAGGGAGATGACTAAAGGTAGAGAGGAACAGAATAACGAGTGATGCGTCTTCCCCTGCAACGCCGGCCACGCGGCGAGGCTGAGCCACCCAGCACGGCAGCGAGGAGGCAAGGTGTGCTGTGGGGCACCACGGGCAGCCTCCCACCCTGGCCATCCCCACCTCTTGGAGCAAACCTTGGGCCAGCTTCTCCCGCTCCCTCTCCATCCCTCCATCTCTGCCGCTCCCTGGGTGCCAGGGGAAAGCCCTCCCTGCCCTGCACAGTGCCAGCTCACCCCTGGATAAGCCTCACCCGTGGGGCGAGCTGATTTTAGCCATAGCCAGTGTGGTGCAAGCCATCAGCTCTGCATTGCCAACAGACAAGAAAAGGCTCAAGCAGAAACTCCCCCCATTGCAGTCTGGTTTACTAGAAAACCTGTCCTTGCCACTTAGCACCCCTGGGCTGTGTACGCTCGATGAGGAATCTGGTGGTGAGGACGCAGCAGTCCCCCGTGCCCGGCTGTGGGGTGCGCCCCGCACCTCCATTTTCTGGCAAAGGCACTGACAAAGAGCCTCCCCCCCAGCTCCACGCTGGCGGGTTTGTGGGGGCGAGGGTGTGAACGAGGGAGGGAAGGGAGAAGCCCTCCTCCCTCCCTTCTGGAGGGGTCTGCGGAGCAGCAAGCCCACCTCTCCCTGCGCCGGGGAAGGCAAGCACGACACCCTCAAAAGCCTCTGGAGAGAGCGGGGAGCGGAGACCAACCTCTCCCCATCAGCTGGTGCAGGGATGTGGGGGGTGCTGGCTGTGCCGGTGGGCGAGCGAGTGGGAAGAGGCAGCAAAGGCTGCCGGTGAGTGAGTAAAGAGCACTTACCCTTTCCAAGACGATCTCCTCGTATTTGAACATCCCATCGCTGCCATTCACCTGGGGAGAGGGAGACAGGACGTTATGGCTCTGTGCCGGTCCCAGGGGGATTCGCTTTTCACTTCTGATAACTGAAGATCAAGAATCCAACCTAAAAGCTGTGCCATCACTGCTGAAAAAACCTTAAACACAACCGCTCAAGCCTGCCCTGGAATTAAATCGTGCGCTGCTTTTCTTTCTGGGCATAAGCCAAAGCCCACTGACTTTAATGCACTTCAGCACAAAGCCTTTATTCTCCCGGCTCATTTCTCCAGCCATGAAAAGGAACACAACTGAAGGCACAAAAAGAAATGACGCCTTTGTTACGCAGCATGTAATAAACCTCGGGAATTCACTGCTGCAGGAAGGAAAGAAAGGGAGTCGGTCCATTTAAAGGGAAAAAAATAATGTCTGTACGTAATAACATAATGCTACCTTTAGCAGCTTATCTCTTTTAAATCTTTTAGTAGCATGACTGTGTTAATGGGGAATTCAGAATAATTTATTCTACCGAATTAGTTGGGTGCGAAGGAAACGAGGTGCAAGTATGGGGCACAGTAAGAGGGAAAAATATTGTGATGCCCTTATATAAAAAAATGGTGTAGCCTGTCTCAATGCTGTACACCATACTGATCCCCACGCCTAAAAATCTCCCATACCCCGAGTGTCAAAGCAGGGCTCTGGCAAACGTAATAGCTTGAAACAAAAGGGATGCAACTGTAGGCTCTAAAATAAGAAATGGGAAATGTACAGGTCAAAGACTTCAATTTTCTCCATAAGTAACAATGCATAGGAAAATAAGGCAGCAGTTTCACTCCAGGTCATCAGGATCAGGCCATAAACTGCTGCTGAGGTCTAAAATTTAGCAAGATTTGCAAAGCAGTTGGCTATTGGAACATCCAGAGCTGTTACACTCAACAGCAAAAGTTTTGGAGGGGACTGGACTGAACTTCACAAATTGAGTCACTCTGGGAAACAAGGGACGGGACGAGACGCAGGCAGGTCTGCATGGCACGGCAGAGGTGGTGGGACCCAGGGCTCAGCAAACGCTTCTCCCATCATACAGCCCTGCCTCTGCCTGCGGCCCCTGGACAACATGCAGCGTTCCTCATGTGGATTTTACATCCACCCTTAATTGAAGATTTGTAGATTGTAGGGAGCCGCTTTCTGTATGTGCTCCGTATCCCAAACCGGAGCTGCCGTAGCTTTGTTCGGACACAGGTCCCCTTATCTGGTGCCAGCATGCCAGCTGTGTCCTGTTTGCCCAGCTCCCTGCTATCCACCCCTGCGGAGGCACAGCCTGGCCATCCTCCAAAACGCCATAGTCCTGGGTTGTTAAATGGAGGGGACAGCAAACACTATTTATGCCAAAGCCATCATCTGACACCATGGAAGGAAACTCAGCAAGGTGGCTGTGAGGCCCTATTTATAGGTAGGAAGAGGAAACAGGAGTTTTTCTAGGTGGGAATAATCAGGTGCCCAGGTGGAAGAGCAGTTCTGCATGCCAGGATCTGGGATGAGGCTGTGCCACCTGCGACACACGCACCCTCATCCCCTGCCTGGTTCAGCCCCGGTGAGGCCAAAGCAATCCCGCACTCTGTGGTGGGTACCACGCTTCAAGAAGGAGGAGGTTGGGGAGAGTCCAGGGCGGAGAGACGGGATGGGGGCTCCAGGGAACATGTGCTGAGAGGGTTGTCCCTCCTCGGATGTGTTCCATGCCTGGTGCCTCTCAGCCATGGGAAGATTTCAGGGCACGATTCAGGGTCGGAACATCCAGATGCTCCAATATTAGGATGCTCTGATCCTCCCAGCACATTGAGAAAGGCTTTGGTCAGTTCTTGGGACAGGATCGCTCCGCAGAAAAGCACTGGGAGTAGTGAGATTAACCCACAGCAGGATCCCCGACAGCCTTGGAGGGACAGAGATGCGTGGCCAGTGCCACCTCCTGCCACAGCACCACCCTGGGCCGTGCTCCCGCAGGCAGGGGAGCATTGCTTCCCTCCCCACAGCCATGGGTTGCCTTTCCCTCCTCGCATCCTACCATACTGACTAATCCTGAGTGGAGCCAGCTCGCTGGCCCGTGCCGCCCTCACAGCCTCCCTCGCTGCAGCCTCCGGGCTCATCTCGTCTCCGCAGTTGGTAGCCCAGTGCGTGGGGCGCGGCGTTGCCTCTCTCCAGCTTTCCAGCAACTCAGATTTCTGGCACCCTTCGTTACTACACACATTGTCCTCTCTGCTTTGGCATTCAACACAGTTGCCACACAGCCAGCCATATGCACACCCACGGCCACAGAGGAACAGCACATACATACCTACAGGATGGGGATGTGCAGAAAACTTTGACAATCTGTGAGCCGCAGAGAGAGCCAGCAGCATGTCAGCCTCGCCAAGCAAGTGGCCGCTGCCGGCAAGCACCCGGCACAGAGACACCCTAGCATGCAAGCTCGTCAGGCACCTCGCTGCCAGGCAGGTGAGTTTGGGGTATCCCTGCTCCCCAAATCTTGGTGCTGCCAATGCTGAGCGGTGTTTTGCATCGCTCCCTGAAAACAAGCGGTGTCAGTACTCACCCGGCGCGGCACGTGCTGGGAGCAGCCTGCTCTGGCCAGGCACACAGCGGTCAGCCAGGCCTGACCATGAAGGTTTAGGTCTGATTATGTTTCCCAAATCCATGCAACAGAATGCCAGTTAATTGCATAAGGAAGCCAAATGGAGAACTTAATATATACCACGTAACCAAGGGAACGAGCCAACAAAGCAAACATTCCAGCATCGGCAAATTGAATACCAGTCACTCACTGATGGCAAAACCTCCCCACGGCACCCACAAGAGCTGCTGCGACCTGGCTCTGCTGCAGGCTGTTCCCCCTCTCCTTTGCCAGTGCTCTGCACTCCTCCCCAGCTCCCATTCGGGGCCATCTCAGCACTACGGGCTTGGTGGGGAGATGCCCAGCTCCGTCGCCTCCGGGCAGGGAGAGCACACCCCACCCTGCTCCTATCTCCCCATGTAACACCTGCAGAGCTGACAGGGGTGTCACGGACTAATTAGCTGTTCCCAGTGCATCCCGATCCTAAGCACCATCTAAGCATCATGGAAAACAGTAAGGGTATTTTTTCCAAGACCTTCCCACACAGCAAGCCCACCTGAGGGCTCAGGAAGAGGCGCCCTTTTGCTGGCCTTCGCTTCCCTTTCGTGTTTTGAGCAGCAGGGAAATAGTTAGCAATGATGACATTTAAATCATCAACAGAAGGCTGCAGAGTTAACACTCATTTGATAAACAGAAGAGCACACACCTTCCAGAGCTACTGCAAGCTGTCTGCAGGCTCTGCCGGCCAACACCGCACCAGCGCACGTGGAACACGCTTTGCAATTTGCTAGAGAGTCAGGATTTGGTGCCTTTTTTTTTTTTTTTTTAAATAAAAAAAGGAGGCCAAATTTAGAAGACTAAGATGGGATTCCACAAACCCAACCGAAATAGCCCACCAGGCTGCAAGAGGAAATAACCCGCAGGAATGATAACACTGCCCGTAGCCACTTTTGGAGCAGAATCTAGCCCATATCTTGTGGTTAGGACACGATGGGGACAGGCACCGGGACCTGATGGTGGAGCAGCTGTGTACCAACATAACGAAGAGAGTCTGGAGGCTGGAGGGTCAGCCCTTGGCCGTGCCAGCCAGACCTGGGAGTGGAGGGCACCTGGTGATGCCCCACACCTGTCCCAGCAAGGGGAAAGGAGAGCAGCCCCGTGCCGGGGCAGCGGGTGTGACGGGCACCTCCCCGCTGGCACGGGCACCGGCAGTGCTCTCCCTGCCTGTACATGGCAGGGGGCCCAGAGAAAATAGGTCAAGAGCTCCTTCCCTTCACCTCCCTGCATCCATGTGTCCTGCCGCAGCACCGAGACCTACTGACTCGCTTCCAGCTAACCCCTGGCCTCAACCCCCTTGCGTGCGTTGCCCATGGTGTCAGCCTTGTGCAGAGAGTAAATAAACACTGTATTTCTGGTCAGCCTTTTGCCAGAGGGTCATGGGGATGAGCCTGCTGATCTCGGGCAGAGGAAAGGGGTTTGAAGCCTGACAGCCCCAGCACACCAGCTGGGAGGGCTCTGCAGCCCTGCTGTCTGCAGGAACTGGCAGCGGGATGTGCCACCACCAGCGCTTGGGACCGAAGCGTGAGGGTGGCAGTTTAGTTTTGATCTTTTCCTGTTTTTTCAGGCTTACAAGCAAGTTTTTGCCCTGCTCAAAGGCACTGGACTGTGGTGGCCATCTCTGCTGCCCTGCAGTGACCGTGGCTGGGGACCCTGGCAGCAGTCAGTGCCCACAAGGAGGTTGCCTCTGCGCTCACCGGTGGCAGAGCCTGGGGCTCCTTGGTGGCATGGGAAGCACTTGGCTTCCTCAGACCTGGCTTTTAGAGACTGAGGAGGTGGCAGCACCTCACTTCTGGGCAGTGGGGCACCAAAGGAGAGCTCCAAGGACTCAGGCTATGAAACCTTCAGCTCAAGGGCTTTGGAGTGACTTTCCCTGCTTGCTTTGGGACTGCCTGGCAGCAGTTGCCATGCACCCTGGGCAGCAACAAGTTGTTAGTTGTTTCAGCTTCAGAGAGGCAGCTCTGAAACACAGAGAACCCATCTGTCACAGGAACTGTGCTTCTGAAGCTCCGTCTTCCCACTACGAACCTGCTGGGCAAAATACACCACAGGGTGAAACTGTGAGCAACGACCTGGAGCTGGCATGGGTGATCCCTCCTGGCACCTGTCCTTACCCTTCAAGGGATGCTTCTAATACAGCAGGATTTATTTGGGTTTTTACACCCTGGGGGTGCTGGGCTCTGCACAAGTCCCAGGCAGCAGAGCTAATCCCCGTCCCCGGTGGTGAGTGGGACCCGGTGCTGCAGCTTGTACCTTACAGTGCTGCTGATGCCACATGCTCTTGGGGATGGAGGTGGGTGGACGGAGAGATTGAAATGTGGAGCAGACTTCTTGATAAACAGACGGGGCCAAATTCAGCCCAGCAGCTAGTCCAATGCAATCAATGGAACTGGAACAGGAAGGAACTAGACTACATCCATCTGTTTATCATTAAGGAAAGCATTGAATAGTTAAGTAATTAAAGACTGGAAGATGTGACTTTAACCCTTCCAAATACATATTGTACTAAAGGCTTCAGCTTTTGAGTTTGTAAGAACACATGCTTCCAGATTTGCCATTTTGGTGTGGTCTTCTGCAACAAGCCCCTGCTATGGCTCCTTTGCTAACCTGGGGAACAGCCGAAGAGGAGGTTTTGCGGTGTGTTTTCCATGAAGCTTGAGGAGTCCAGCACCTTGGAGAATGAAAGGATGGAGCAGGGCTCGTTTCTGTGCTGGTATGACATGAAGGAGAAGGCAAGAGGGTCTCCAGGCTGGAGGCTGAGGGGAATCAAAGTGAGGTGTCTCCCCTGCCCTGGGCATGGGCTCCTCTGGGCACCTTGCAGGTGGCACATGCCTGGGCACGGGGCTGGTGGTCCCTGCTTTGCCCAGCAGATGACAGCCACAACCTATTTTGCCCACCACAGGGCAGTTCCTCCCGCCATGTCCCACTGCGGTTGGATGGATGGGGTAGGTGACTGCCATCCCCAGGGTGACGCTGGTCCCTGCCAAGGGTGCAGAGCACCCCCCAAACCTGGACAAACTCACCCTGGGGGCTGCAGGAAGGGAGCTCCCATCCAGCACAGCAAGAAGGAGCTGTGGCCAGGGTGCAGGGAGAAGGAGCAGATGGGGATATGGAGCTAACGAGGTGGAGGGAATGGGAGCAGGAGGGATATGGAATTAATGAGATGGAGTAGGGAGGGCAGGAAAGTGGAGTGCACTGCGGTGGGACGAGGCCGCTGCTGGCCCTATAGGCAGGGTTCTGCAGGGCTTGGGAGCATGCCTGGGGTGACAGAGCCTGTCCTTGGTCTTTGGGGTCACCTCTTGCTGCCCTTGGGCACACAGACAGGGAGAAGGGACAAGCATGGCTGGACCCTGGTGAAGGATGTGGTGCTGGTGGCTGCAATGGCGAGCAGGCAATGTTCCTCCAAGGGAGGGAGGGTACAAAACAGATGTGAAAGCAGAGTTTCCATCCAGGAATACCTCCCTACCCTGCCCACAGCACACCCCTTAGTCCAACTTTGTGGTGTATCCTTCCTCTCCAGAAGACATTGCCCTTTTTCCAGTTCCCTGTGGAACAGCACCAGCCTGGTGAGCACAAAGAGCAGGCTGCAACACAGCACTGCCTTGCAGCCGGGGTGCGCAGCACACTGCGAGAAGCCTCCAACCCCACAAACACCCTGCCATGCCATGCATTTGGAGAAGGGAACCTTTGGGGACAGCATCTCTCTTCTGCCATCTTCATACAAGGCTGCTGGACCCACAACTACCGCGCTGAGAGAAGCAGTGTTGCCTTCCTCCCCAGTGCCAGGTGGCTTCGCTTCAGCACCCGCAGCATAATTAAACCATACAGCCAGGGTTGCAGAGGTCTCAGCTGGGCTTCCCTTCCTTTTCATAGCCCTGCCCAACCAGCTCAGCAGAGCTCTGATGTGCACTGACCCCACCACAGGCTGGGATCTGCAGTACTTTACAAGGAAGATTCAACCACCAGAAGTCAGCTGCAGCCCTCCACCGTGACTCCAAAGACAAACCAACCCCAGCTCTGAGTCCTGGTGCCCCTTCATTAACGTGGAAGGCAGCTGAAATTTGCTGCATCAGAAAAAAACTATGTGCAAAGCACCCAGCCCTGGCAAGCTGTCAACTGAGCTCCCTTTGGGTAAAAAATACAGAACACCCTGTGAGCATGGAGCCAGTGCCACAGAAATCCACGCTGGCGACCCTGCTCCTGCCATCCACCCGCAGGAATGATTTGCAAATGTTCTGGGAAGGAATGCAGCAGCAGCACACAAACCCTCTGTGCAACAAACCAAGAAGGATTATCTTTGTACTATGCCAAGAGTACCAAATGCACTGTGGCTGCAAACACTCACAGTCACCAAGCACCGCTCAGCTGCTGCCAGCCTTCACTGCGAGAGGAGCAGCATCTGATGGGTCCTGCCACCCTGAGGTCCACTGGATGCGATGCCAGTGAGCATCTGAAGAGCTCTGCCTCCCTCCAGAGGGGCTGGGGCTGCCAAAGGGGGCTGAGGCAGTGTAGGAAGGTAAGGGATGCCCCAGCAGAGCCTCACCTGCATGGGAGGCTGAGGAAATGGCTGTGTGGGTAATGCTGAATGCAGCCAGCCCAGCTCCCCCTGCTCCTCTGTTGCCTGCTTACCCCACCGTGGGCTCCTCTGAGTGCCTCCTGCTTTCTACCCTCCCTGGGCTGGAGTCCCCAGCATTGCTTGCTGCTAGCTTTGGCTCTGCTCAGCTTCAGCCAGCGCCAGCGAGGTTTTGGGGTGGGATGTGCTGTGGAGATGTGGCGCAGGCATCAGGCTCCTCTGCCACCTTGCTGGGGCCTCCTTGGGCTGGAGGAGCCTTTCCTGCACCGCCGAACAGGGAAAATGCACCGCTTGTTCAAAGGAAGCGAAACAAAACCAGGAGACTTACAGAGAGCCCTTGTTCCAGCGAGTCTGTGTTCACGATAATGGGAGCAGGGTTGGCCTGTGAGGAGACAAAAGTGTGACGTCACCGAGCTGAGCAACAAACCCAGCCCTTCGCGTTGCACTGCCTCTCTCCTGGCCATGCCACCGCAGACCCTCCAGGCCAGGCAGAACAGAGCAGTTCAGGAAGGGCTCTGCTCTTGTCCCTCCTCCAGGTGTCCAGCAGCCCTGGGACAGGACCAGGGACACAGCATGGCTCTGAGCATCAGTCCCCTCCTCAGGCGTGGTGTGTCCCAAACACCCCACAGCCTTGGCTGCTGGGAAGGAGACAGGGAAGACTGGAAACTCTCCCAGTCTCAGGCCAGAATCCCACCAGCACCAAAATTTACTTGAAATCCACATTACTGAGGGATTAGGAAATGGAAGGAGAAGGGAAGGAAGTCCCTCTGAGGGAGGGATATATTTCCAGCAGACCAGCCCTGAGGCCTTCACACATCTTCCAGCAGCTCCTGCTGCCCCTCTTAAGCACGGGGCCACCATGGCCTGGGAGAGGTGGTAGTGTTTGGTCCCTGGGGTAAACCCTCTGCTCGACAACCTGTCTCATCCTCCACACCAGTACATGCCTCCCCCCTATCTTGCAGGGCTCCCCATAAACCTCTCTCTCCGGGTTCCCCTCCGGCTGGGCTGTCCCTCTGCCCATGAGCTCACTACAAGAAGGACGTTGAGCTGCTG